TATTGAAAAGAAAACGGCTGTTACAGCCATACTGACCAGAACGTATAAAAAATTGTCCCAAACACAATATCTGAGAGAGAAACAAAATAAAAGTCACTCGATTTCCTCACCGTGCTAAGATGTATAAATACCCTATATAAAATCCTCGTGGCACTTAGTATTTCAGCTATTACAACAAAAATTTTAGCGGTGCTTTCATTGTGCGTATTTACACCCGATTCGCCAGGCAAGACGACGACGGTAGCAATGCGTGTGATGGAGGGTGTGGGAGGGGGTTTTGAGAATTGCAATTAAATGCCAGGTAGCGACGTGTCCTCGAAACACATCGACCCCATGGTTAACAATACCTTTTTTTTGGAGGACTGTACATTTCATTCTGCAACCTGGCATTTGTTTGTGTTTTTTGTGTATGTTTTTTGTATATGTGTTTCCATTGTTTTCCTAAGCTTGGCCAGAGGACATTAAGTGCTAGAGGCAGCAGTGGCATTAAGAGAAACAGGAAGGCAATTAATCTGATGTGAAATTACATGACAAGCATTATGTTTCTTGCTGGTAACTGTACTACAGTATTATTTCTATTTATGATTTTATTTGAGAAGCAGGTATTTATTATACTATTTTAGTGCATTATTTTACTTGATACATATAGATACATATAGTACTGTATTATATTTTGGGGGGTAAAAATTTTCCCTTTAAGAAGGCAAAATTTTCTTTGGAAACACATTGCCAATTATTATTACAGTATTGTTATTAATGAAATTATTATCATTATTATTATTAGCATTATTATGACAGTATTACTGTACATTATCATTATAATTCTTACTAATCTTATTGTTACTGTATTACTATTATTATAAAGCCCTGCATAAAAAGGATTAGCACTATAGATAATATCAATGAGCTCTCACATAGCACTGAAAGTAAAAACCTGTAAATTTTTTTTTATTAACTTTCTAAAATCCTATAAGAAGAAACCATTATTGTACCACAACAATATTATACACTACACTACCACAACATTACACACTACGCTACCAGGGACACCTGACAATACACAAGTGAGGGACACCTGGCAACACGACATCTTCTAACACATGAAGCAGTAGACCCACCAGAACCTACCAGTCTATAGTGCAGCAGTTAATGAGGGAGGGGAACATCCTGAGCCTGGTCCTGAAGGTGTCGCCTATGGGGGACATGGCCACTACCAAGTGCAGGTTGGCCCTCACTCGCTCGTTGAAGTAGCCAAACAGTGTCATAGGTGAGGAGTCCATCTTCTTACCCTTATTGGGATATTAATCTGAGGTTACAATATGTATTATATTGGTTGAGGAGTGTGGTCCACATTATAAATATAAGATGACCCAATGAAACAATTATCAGATGAAAGTAGGATACTCTTTCTTGTTGGGATATAAAAATTTTGTATCAATTGAAGATAACTGAAGATTAGTCTTCCCAGCATATTTTACTACAGTAGGTTAGGTTAAGTTAGTGTTAGTGTTTAAACATCAGATGAAATAAGCTGAGATGCTTAATCTTCCTGTGGTCCCAAAATTTTCAATGTTTAGCTGGACCTAACTCTAATAAACAAGATGAATATAGTGAAAATACTGTACAGTACCGTACATCTATAAACTTTATCTGAATTTCTAAGTTATGTACGTAGCGCTCAAGAACAGTAAAGTGATTTATCTACATGAATGAGTAAATAGTGAATAACACTTATTCAAAAAGTATACATATCCTAAATATACTACAACACAGCAACATGTACAGTAAGTATATGGTCAACAAGTGCATTACAGGAAACAAGTTGTAGTGGACGTCTCCCCTACAAACTGCGCATCGCATTCCAATGTGCCGCCTTCCCTAGCAACCAACCAGATGTTACCGTATCTTAGCAAGAAACTATTCACCGGCGACTTCTCGGGTTTTCCCACCATGACTCATAGCGGCTGCTGCGGGGTATATAAGCTCTGTCTCTCCATTGAGATTCATTCCTCCACCTCCTGCCTCAACATACACATTTCTACATAAAACATTACTAGAGGAATAAAGATGAGAGTGACCAACCAGCTCCACTAAGAACCTGGCAGGCCTCTCCATACAGTGTACCTTTAGACTAACACAACTAACACTTAACTAACACCTCAAAAAAAAAAAAATGTGACTACCCTCCCAGTTACACAAGGACCTGGGCGGGCTCACTAACTCCAACAATAACAAATAATAATAGTAAGCAGCATTATATAAATAAACCAATATTAATACAAAGGTCTGACGACCCAAGGGAGCAGAACAAAGACAAAACACCAATAAGAAAGATGAAGCGATCTGGTTGAGCCCAGATTCTTTCTACTCCTACTGTATTTCAGTTTCACCACTTTTCCTTCAACTCCTAATAATCTTCTTTCACCTCTTAACTAAAGACTTCGTATCGTATCGAGATTCATTCTGACCATTCTTCTTGAACAAGCAACACCTCCTCCTCCGCCGCTGCCTGGCTGCCCCTCGCATCTCCTCGCCTGCCTGGCGGTCCTCGCTCCCGCCGGCTAGCATGGCGACCCACCAGCTGTCCTTCCCTGAGCTTCCTCACCAACCAACTCTCATTCTGCCCATTTTCCTGAACAAGCAACATCTCCTCCAGCAAGCTCCACGCTGTTAACATTTCATTCAACCAGGAGGCCAGCAACAGGCAACATCTTCACTAACGAAGCTCCTGCACATCTACCTCCTTCAACAAGCTACTCACCGCACGTCTCTACCAAGCAGCCCCTCACCACACAGCATCTCCAGCACCAGACTGTCTATCATATAACTTATATATTATATAAGAAAACCACATTAGAGTTTCCTTCCATCCTGAGTGCTAGACAACATTAATATCTCGATACCCCTACAATCAAAGCTTTAGGCTTTGTATTAAATTGTTTCTAGTAAAATGAAAGATAAAAAGCAAGTGTTTCAAATACAGACATATGAAAGAGCATATAAAATAATGCCCAAAATGGGTTCCAAATTATACTGAGCGTCTACCTAATATTTAAAATAGTACTATTTTATCAACAATAGATTAAAGCACATGAATTCTGGAATCCAGTATTGTCAATATATCAGTAGGCAAATGTTAATAATAATTCTGACCCAGCACACAACATATTGTAGTAAATGTTATGAATTTCTAATTCAAAGTATTGTCAAAGACATTGTAGCAAATATAATATGAATTCCAGAATCCAGATTGTCAAATATGATGTAGTAAATATAAGGCCATGAATTTAGACCCAGCATATTATAATAAGTAAATGTTAACATGAATTTGGACCCAGTATTGTCAATATATTGTAGCAATGTTAACATGAATTCTGGACCAGTATTGTCAACATATTGCAGTAAATGAAGATGAATTTAATCAGTATTATTAATATATTGTAGCAATGTTAACATGAATTTTGTTCAAGTATTGTCAAATATAACAGTAAATATGGAATATGAATTTGACTCAGTATTGTCAAATATATTGTAGTAATGCAATGATTGTTCGAAATCCGTAAGCAGTGAGAGCTGTATATGATCGAAGACTGAAAATAAGTTGTTTAAGGCAAAAATAAACTTAAGCTCAGTGAATAATGAGGTGTTGCTCAGATATACGTGGCACAGAGGCCCCTCAGCCCCCGTGGGGGACTGGGCTGCCTTCTATGATAATCAAGAACGTATGCTTATATTATTGAAACAAATGCAAACACAAGACATTGAACAATCATACAACTATGATCAAATCAGGAAAATTATTCATCTCGCCTTAACTTCAGCAGAGGTTGGTTGAGGTTGTAAGTAACTTGCCATCATCATATCAGAAGTTTCACCAATATGCGTTAACAAACAAATTGCTTTTGAAGCTTCTTTTTCAGAATTTATACCAATTGGTTGTTCTTGATATCGAAATCGTGAGACCTGCCAGTATATCAAGGTAAAAATATTGATAATTCATTGAACGAAGCTAGTTCAAATCAAACTACCGTCAACAGTCTGATGGGTCCAGGGTATGCCAGCACAGCGAACAAGCAAAGCTTTAAAAGTGGCATGTGGTATACAAACCTCTGTTAGTGCCTAAGATAACAAAAATTTTGGAAATTGAACAATATGAAGGAGAGAGATAATCAAGTGACCTGTCTTAAAAGAGGGCCCATGAAAAGAATCAGCAACGTAGCAATTGCTGTGTACCATCCCACTACTATATATTTAGTACTAGTAATATGCCATACTGCAACACATAAATGTCTTTATCTGATAAGTTAGATGTCAATTGTTTGTTGGGAAATTATTAATACTAAGTTTTAGCCTGTAAGAGATATGTTATTTTGAGACAAGGACTTAGGTGGTAGATCAAATTAATAGGTCACTCGCTAAATATGTTCAAGAACATTTTCAGCAGTAAGGCACACCCAGTGACCATTACCCTGTATTGAAGGGTTTGTTGCTAACTTCAAAGCACAACAGTAATGGCTTTGCTTTCTCCAGACAATTTGCAACATGCATGAAATCTGTATTCTTTTACTCAGGCCAAGCCCCTGAAACAACATGGACTTGTTTGGTCAGGTTTCCAAAGTCACATTGTATTCCAAATTGTTGGAGTATAAAGAAGAGACAATTATAGTGAGTTTATGACTAAAATACCATAATTTGAATCCTTAACTTAAACGGTAAAATTTTGTGTGATAATCAAGACATCTCCTCACCACCTACGATTTAAAGTAAATTAAAGTAGTATGTCACCACCTGAAGACCAATTGCAAACGCCAGAAAATAATTCTCCTTGATCCACACTTTCGAAATACAAAAGGTTTCAAAACTGGGGAAGCTAAATAGTCAGAACTCTATACTTCCTAAAGGTGCCGTGAATTGGCTATTAACACAGGACCAAAACACACTATAGTTTTTTGTCCTCACTACTGTCTAGGCCAGAAGAGTCTCAGTCAGGTATTTATTATGGCATTATCTCAAAATGATTTTTTGCTAAGCAACTTAATTACAGTGTATTTATTTGATAATTTCAGTAGAAAATGCGGCAGACTAAACCTCGACATATCAGCTTCAAATTTGGCATGGAGTCTTAGATGTATAAGGAACAATGCCTGAAGAGTGCAGCTTTGAGCAAAATTTCACTGCCCCCTACTGTACATCCTACCTCTGGGTGGAGGAAGGGTGCTGGGGAAGGGCTAAGTTGGAGCAAAAAGTTCTCTCAGTCAGTCAGTCGATGTCACTCAGGAAAAGGGTTCATTGATTTGCTAAATACAGTTATGCACAGATTTAACAGATCACCTGAAGATTGCCTCCTCCAACTTGTTCTACTTGAAGATTAACCATTCTAATACAATACACGACAAACCAAACACTAACCAAACCTAACCGACCACCCTAATGCAAACCTAACCTAACCTAACCCTCCCCCCCCCCTTCTGATGGGGTTATTACTGATAATCTTTAGGTGAAATAAGCCTGGGGCAGGTGAATTTTCAGGAGATCCAATTTATCCTAATATTTGTTGGCAAAGTAAGTAAGTACAGGACAGGCATCCCCTGCCTTATAGAAACTCACGTTATGGAAATTCGCGCTTACGGAATTTGGTAATTACTGTATGACCAAAAATTCGGGATATGGCTAAAAAACTTCACCCTTACGGAATTTGGGTAAAAAAAAAAAAAGCAAGCCAAGTTCAGCAGTAAAAATATTTGACATTATTAGAGCTCAAGTCGTAAGAAAGATAAGGGATGACTAAAATTTATATATATTATGAATGGAATGGTCAGGTATAGTATTACTAAAGTACAGGTAAATTAAAGTTACTTATTATTAAGGGTTTAATATCATGCGAGATTGGTTTTTATTAAAGGATGAAGATCTTGTAATACTTTGATGAGTAAATGTTTTACATGAAAAGAATACAGTAATTGTATATTAACAAATTATGCATAAATATACTAAAAATTAGAAATATATAGTACATTATAAAGTAAATATTATAACTAAGTGAACCAAAAAACCATCACCTCATAACTGTTTAATGATTATTTTATCAACAAAATCCTAATTAAGCAGTTGCAGTTTGCTCTCGGCTAATGGTAACAACAACCCTTGTAAGAGATAGTCAATGTAAGGCATAAATTATTTTTTCTTCTTATTTCTCATATTATTATTAACCAACTGTTACTGTAAAACATACAAAAATGTACAGTATATGAATGATCTTAAGCATTACTATGGTACACTAAGTTAAATATCAAATGTTCAAAATTATAAAGATCTGCAGTACTCACCTCATCTTTGGCAACTGCTTGTATCTTTTCTAATATTTCTGCCTTTTCCTCATTGGTGTATAAATTAGGCAAATCTCCTGTGTTGAGTAATGTGTTAATATCCTCTAAGAAGCTTCCATCTTTGATCTGTGTGTCAGTAAGGAGAAAGACTATTGATTTTCCATCTCCTCCAGCTTTCATGAGTACTTTCTTAATGTCTTCTCTCCATTCTGCTACACCATAGGTCTTGGTCACCTCTATCTGTAGGGTGAAACATGAATCATGGAAGTTACTCTTCTTATTAACTATATCTGTAGTACTTATTAAATATTTGTGGCTTTATTGAGGGATCTGAAACACAATCAACTTTTCAATATTTATGGCTGAACCTCTGATGCATTATGGGTAGAACTTCTCTGATAAAAACACTGGCTGGACCTCCTATGATACAAACACTGGCTGGACCTCCTATGATATAAACACTGGCTGGACCTCCTTTGATACAAACACTGCTGGACCTCCTATGATACAAACACTGGCTGGACCTCCTATGATACAAACACTGGCTGGACCTCCTATTACAAACACTAGCTGGACCTCTTATGTACAAACACTGGCTGGACCTCCTGTGATACAAACACTGGCTGGACCTCCTATGATACAAACACTGGCTGGACCTCCTATGATACAAACACTGGCTGGACCTCCTATGATACAAACACTGGCTGGACCTCCTATGATACAAACACTGGCTGGACCTCCTATGATAAACACTGGCTGGACCTCCTAGTACAAACACTGGCTGGACCTCCTATGATACAAACACTGGCTGGACCTCCTATGATACAAACACTGGCTGGACCTCCTTTGATACAAACACTGGCTGGACCTCTATGATACACACTGGCTGGACTCCTATGATACAAACACTGGCTGGACCTCCTATGATACAAACACTGGCTGGACCTCCTGTAATTACAAACACTGGCTGGACCTCCTATGATACAAACACTGGCTGGACCTCCCGATTACAAACACTGGCTGGACCTCCTGATACAAACAGTGGCTGGACCTCCTTTGATACAAACACTGACTGGACCTCCTATGATACAAACACTGGCTGGACCTCCTGATACAAACACTGGCTGGACCTCCTATGATACAAACACTGGCTGGACCTCCTCGATACAAACACTGGCTGGGCCTCCTATGATACAAACACTGGCTGGACCTCCTATGATACAAACACTGGCTGGACCTCCTGTGATACAAACACTGGCTGGACCTCCTGATACAAACACTGGCTGGACCTCTATGATACAAACACTGGCTGGACCTCTATGATACAAACACTGGCTGGACCTCCTATGATACAAACACTGGCTGGACCTCCTATGATACAAACACTGGCTGGACCTCCTATGATACAAACACTGGCTGGACCTCCTATGATACAAACACTGGCTGGACCTCCTATGATACAAACACTGGCTGGACCTCCTGTGATACAAACACTGGCTGGACCTCTGATACAAACACTGGCTGGACCTCCTGTGATTACAAACACTGGCTGGACCTCATGATACAAACACTGGCTGGACCTCCTATGATACAAACACTGGCTGGACCTCCTGATATCAAACACTGGCTGGACCTCCTGTGATACAAACACTGGCTGGACCTCCTATGAAAACACTGGCTGGACCTCTATGATACAAACACTGGCTGGACCTCCTATGATACAAAACTGGCTGGACCTCCTATGATACAAACACTGGCTGGACCTCCTTTGATACAAACACTGGCTGGACCTCCTGATGCAAACACTGGCTGGGCCTCTGTAATTACAAACACTGGCTGGACCTCTATGATACAAACACTGGCTGGACCTCCTGTGATACAAACACTGCTGGACCTCTGTGATACAAACACTGGCTGGCCTCTGTAAATCAACACTGGCTGGACCTCCTATGATACAAACACTGGCTGGACCTCCTTTGATACAAACACTGGCTGGACCTCCTATGATACAAACACTGGCTGGACCTCCTGATACAAACACTGGCTGGACCTCCTATGATACAAACACTGGCTGGACCTCCTGTGATTACAAACACTGGCTGGACCTCCTATGATACAAACACTGGCTGGACCTCTCATGCAAACACTGGCTGGACCTCTGATACAAACACTGGCTGGACCTCTATGATACAAACACTGGCTGGACCTCCTATGATACAAACACTGGCTGGACCTCCTATGATACAAACACTGGCTGGACTCTGTACACGGCTGGACCTCCTATAATAACACTGGCTGGACTCCTAACACTGGCTGAACCTCCTTGGATACAAACACTGCTGGACTCCTGATACAAACACTGGCTGGACCTCCTTTGATACAAACACTGGCTGGACCTCCTGATACAAACACTGGCTGGACCTCTGTAGTACAAACACTGGCTGGACCTCCTGTAAACACTGGCTCCTATGATACAAACATGCTGGATCCAATTAAACACTGGCTGGACCTCCATGATACAAACTTGCTGAACCTCTGATACAAACACTGGCTGGACCTCTGTGATACAAACACTGTGGACCTCCTATGATACAAACACTGGCTGGACCTCCTGATACAAACACTGGCTGGACCTCTTGATGCAACACTGGCTGGACCTCTATGATACAAACACTGGCTGGACCTGATACAAACACTGGCTGGTCCTGATACAACACTGGGCCTCCTATGTACAAACTTGCTGGACCTCCTATGATACAAACACTGGCTGGACCTCCTTTGATACAAACACTGGCTGGACCTCCTAATTACAAACACTGGCTGGCCTCCTTGATACAAACACTGGCTGGACTCTTTGTTACTGGCTGGACCTCCTATGATACAAACACTGGCTGGACCTCCATGATACAAACACTGGCTGGACCTCCTGTGATACAAACACTGGCTGGACCTCTATGATACAAACACTGGCTGGACCTCCTATGATACAAACACTGGCGGACCTCCTTTGATACAAACACTGGCTGGACCTCCTGATACAAACACTGGCTGGACCTCCTGTTAAACAACGACACTGGCTGGACCTCCTATGATACAAACACTGGCTGGACCTCCTATGATATAAACACTGGCTGGACCTCCTTTGATACAAACACTGGCTGGACCTCCTATGATACAAACACTGGCTGGACCTCCTATGATACAAACACTGGCTGGACCTCCTATGATACAAACACTAGCTGGACCTCCTATGATACAAACAACCAAACACTGGCTGGACCTCCTGTATAAACACTGGCTGGACCTCCTGATACAAACACTGCTGGACCTCCTATGATACAAACACTGGCTGGACCTCCTATACAAACACTGATACAAACACTGGCTGGACCTCCTATGATACAAACACTGGCTGGAACTCCTATGATACAAACACTGGCTGGACCTCCTATGATACAAACACTGGCTGGACCTCCTCTGATACAAACACTGGCTGGACCTCCTTTGATACAAACACTGGCTGGACCTCCTCTGATACAAACACTGGCTGGACCTCCTCTGATACAAACACTGGCTGGACCTCCTATGATACAAACACTGTGGCTGAATCTCCTATGATACAAACAGACCTCCTATGATACACACACTGTGGCTGGACCTATACCAGAGGATAATCTTCAACTGGTATCACTTGGTACAATGTGTATTCCTTGTAAATAAAGATGTAAGAATGAATTGAACTGGTCGACTCAAGGAAAAACACAAATAATACTCCAAAACGGCATCAACATTACCCTGAGACTACTTTAACTACGAAAGATACATTCACCTAGCAAAAGTTAGGAGACATAACTGATAAAATTTTAATGTTTCTGTACATTAATTTTGTCCCCTAACTGGTGCTTACTGAGTGTGTTTAGTTAAAGCAGAATCTCAGCATGATGTTGGAGATATTTTTTAGCATTCTGCTTATGGTTCAGCTTCAGGAAACCCATTAGTTGCATTGTTTCTTCTTCGGTTATGAGGAATATCTTTGTATGAACCTTTGAGAACGTGAACCCCAGTCCATACCCCCTCATTGCCTTCTTGTATGACTTTCATGTAACTATTATTGGTATATTGGATCTTCTTTCACTTAATGACACTATATGTACATACAATACAATGACTTAGTTACTTAACAGTTGAGGTTCACTACAGAGAGAATTCTCTTCAATACTGATGTTATTCTCTTCTTTAGCTTTTGGAAGCACTTGTTACTGAGAGAAAACTATCACTTGAGTATTAATTTATTACTATACTGTAGTTTGAATGTGTTATTCAAACAGATATTTTCCCATTATTAAGCCTCTACATTGATTTACATCTATACTGTAGCTCCATCCTTCCATCCCACCCAGATGGGTCAGCAGGGTTAAGAAGAAAAAAAAATCTACCTTACTTTGAAGGCTTATTTATACAGTACATCAATTAATTAGACTGTCAAGCTGTCTGACTAATTTCCTCAATTACCTTCATAATTTCTCATAAAAAAATTTAAATTTACACTTTATGATCTGTGGGTGTCTATGTATTTACAAACATCTCTGCTTTACAGATGGAATGAGGTAAGGATAAAAATTACCAAGGTACTTATTGAATCAGAGGGTTGGCTCACTTGGAAGAGTTCATGGTTTGCCATGAAGGTGGCCAGCTTGGTGGCACTTTGGCGGCCTGAGCCAGCAAACCCAATGAGGAGGGCATGGCCAGAGACCTGCTGGAGGATGCGGCTGATGCGGGACACATGCTGGGTGATGTACTGGAACATGACCAATGACAGTGGCGACTTACTGATCACGTTGTACTCGTGCAGGTATGCCTCCATTACTTGTTGCAAGTCAGTCATTTCCAGTACCTGCAACACACGCCCGCAACACTTTAATGTACATCCAGTTTATAACAATTGCAAGTGTAATTAAATGCATGAAGAAGCACCCATGAGCAATTAAACAGTCACAGTGGTAATGAGTAACACTGTAAATCCCAACAGCTGACAAACAATTTGGTAGTATGCAGTGTAGAAACATATCCATAAGCTAAACCTGATACAGTACTGTAAGTCTTGTACAGTCATGCGCCGGTTAACGTCCGACCGAACAACGTCCGATCGCATATACGTCCGTGGCCCCCCCTCCCGCAAAAAAAAAAGTGACGCCTGCTGGACCACCACTCCACGACCCCCTGACGGAGACACGATGATCCTCCCCGTACTGGTCAGATATTATGTGTTAAAGGAATATGCTTCCAATCTTAGGCTATTTTTAAACATTTGCCTCCAAGTGTAATGTTAACCTACATCTATTGAGGATAAAATCTTTCACCTACAAATTGACAATAACACATTTGCTGTAATCAGACATATCTAGTTGCCTCAACAATTGCAACCCCAGTTGCAATTGGGGTTGCAATTTCAAATTCTGTGGCATTACTAAGTATAGTGAAGTCTCTGGTGCACTCTAAGATTAAGAGAGAAAACAGAGGACCCAGATGGTCCTGATGTGAGAGAAAACGGACTCGTATGACGGGGGACCAAATAAAAAAAGCATGGCTACATGTTTTGTGGACTACAGTTTTAAGCGTACCCTTTTCATCACTTTGTAATAAACCTAGCCATGCCTATGTGTGTTTATGATATTTACCATAACATTATACAGTGAACCCTCACTTTACGCAGTCAATTGAACCCCCGGCGGCCCGCGTAAAGTGAGAAACGCGTAAAGTGAACAACATAACATATGGGATTAATTGAAATAGAGACCGGGCCGACCCCCAAACTCCACTTTTTCAGACACAATACCTACGTTGTAGTAAAAATAACATCTTAATTTTATGATGGTATGCACACACAATTAATAATTAAGAGAAATATCAATAATATTAGGTTTTTTAACACTTACATTAGTAGAAAAGATGGCTGGGCACACGGGGATGGGGGGTTGGTTCCGAGGTAGAGGGCAGATTATTGGCCCTCACCTGTATCACTTGTATCAATTGTATCACTATCCACCACAGAGGCTTGCAGGGCCTCTTTGTCAAACCCCTCAAAGTCCATATCCTCACTATCATTATCACTATCAATGACTTGGGCCGGCTGTGGTGGGTGGCGGGTGAAGAACTCAGTTATGTTTTGATGACTGGGCGACCTTGTGCGCACCCTGCTCGCGCCGCTCTCCGCGTAAAAGGGTACACACACCGCGTAAAGTGAGCATTCTGTGTTCGACAGGGAACAGCGTAAACGTGGAAACGCGTAAAGTGGGACCGCGTAAAGCGAGGGTTGACTGTATATATATTTAGTGGGTCTAAATGGTCGTAAAATGGGAAACTTGGGGTTGGGACTTGGGTGCCTGAACCAATTAGAATAAATCCCATAGGTTCTGTACTTTCGTTATCGGCGGGGTCCCAATTAGGCGCGATAACCAAGGGATGACTGTACTGTATATACTTGTGACACTGGCCAGTTGCTTCTGGTGTTATGGTACAGGGGTACCAAGTGACAGCACTAGGATCCCGCTTCCTCTATCAAGGAATAAACAATTAAAATTTAAATTTAAATTGAAAAAAAAACATTCAAATAATGGGACCTAGCCAAACTAAATAGCCCTAGAGCGGGCACAGTCACGTATGCATCGCGTATTCTTATAGACTGTGCTGCTAGGCATAGGTTATCTAGTGAATTTAGTCAATATTGTACAGTAACAATGGACCTAAGTGCAAACCTGTATTGTACATGTACTAAATGATTTTGGTACTAAAATTGTTATGTCTATTGCAAATATAGCTTGTTTATACAGGTATTCAAATAAATTACTATCTTACAAGAATCCCTCCAATGTAAGTTATATTCACCCAGGTCATTTGGGTGGCAAATTATGAGAAGAGCTTAGTCACTCTTAAGTAATGATAAATAAACACGCAGGCAGGCCTTCAGCGCCAACTGTCAAATCTTATCTCAAATAAATAAACAAACAAACGCCAGACATTCTGTCACCTCACCTCCCGCCCCCTCCCTCCCAGACAAAAGATTGGTGATTTCTTTATGTTTAGTATTTTATATAATATCTCAGAATAAAGTTAGGATAATATAATTTGCATTGCTGAAATCCTTGCAAGACAGAGATTAATTTGAATATAAGCGTCATATATTTTGGTCAAGATATAAAAAATGTAGTACAGGTTGTACCTCTCTAGTCCGGCAACCTCGGGACCTGACCGGTGCCAGACCATGGAAATTGCAGTACCATGGAAATTCACCCTTTTTCTGGATAGATAGTGAATTGTGCTTATGCCTGGAAGCACTAGCACCACTTTCTCTGCGTCATGGTCTCTTTGAAGACATATTGAAGGGTTAAATGTCGTATAGTAGCTTCTCAAATTTCGCGAGTTTTTAATTCTTAACGTATTTTATTGAAACACACAAAAAATAAATAAATAAAAATTTTGACGGCGGAAACTTGAATTTCGACGGGTTTGAACGGCCCGCCAACGTGCAGACGACGTGCATAATCGTGTAAACAGCGTCATTTCTCTTATGTACAAGAGATTCATTATTGTTTATTACTGAATGTCTTTTTTATCGAATTAATGTTTATGTGTGCAAAATGAGCAATAAAATTCATTAATAATACGTAGAATATTAAAACACACGAGGAAATGACACAACATTGTTTTCGTTGATTACAAAACCAGTGACTGACTGGTTCTACATATAAAACTGAAGAAAATAAGACCTTGGTTGTAGCTGTAGTAAAATTAATATGGTTGTTTTAAGTAATGTTATTTAATGTTAATAAATGGAACAATAGAAGTAGCTAACGATAATGGTAAAGGAAAAAGAGATCGCATATGTAAGTGCGCATGCGCACACGTGAAAACATATCGTCATTACATTACATAAGAATATGAAAGCAACACTTATTTACTGTTCATATATATTTTAATTAATGTTTCTGAATTTGTTTTTATTGAATTAATGTACGTGTGTGCAAAATTAACAATACAATTTATTAATAATACGTGGAATATTAGAGGAGACGAGACGGCTGCCGGCATTGTTTATGTTAAAGCTTACGAAACCAGTGACTGATTGGTTCTACATATAAAACTGAAGAAAATAAGACCCTGATTTTAGCTGTAGTAAAATTAATGTAAAAAATGAATATGGTTGCTTGAAGTACCTGTAATGTTATTTAATGTTAATAAATGGAACAATATAAGTAGCTAACCATTAATGGTAAAAAAAAAAGTGAGACTGCTCGTATGTAAGTGCGCACATGTGAAAATATATCGTCATTACTCTACATAAGAATATGAAAGCAACACTTATTTACTGCTCATATATATTGAAGGGTTAAATGTTGTACTCTGTATAGACAAGCAGAGAGAGAGAGAGAGAGAGAGCAGCCGAACTGCCGGATGTAAACAAACCTTAATTTCCCGCGGCTTTTTTTTTTTTAAGGGGATTAGCCCACCCGGGAATAGGTCACTGACCCACATTGGGGCCTGAGGGGCAAAAATTTAATACTCCTGTAATAATAATAATAATTCAGATAAGTAAAAAAAAAAAAAAAAAAAAAAGCTGCCTATCTACCTATTGGACAAACTAAAATCGTTCCGGACCACGGGAGTTTCCGGACCACAGAATGCCGGACTAGAGAGGTACAACCTGTATATTAGTGTACAATACTGAAGTACATTTTATAAAAAGTTTTTCAACTGTATTTTTGGGTAGATTTACATAAATTTATTCATTTATTTTCATCCATTTACATGCACACACCATACTAAAAGAAACGTAAGAGAAATAAATGACCTTAGTGCAAGGCTGGAGTGCACATGTACTAATTTTATTACGGTACTAAAATTGTTATGTCTAGTGCGAATTACAACATGTTTATATTCAAATAAATTAGTATCTTACAAGGATCCCAGCCATGTTAATTATATTCTCCTAGGTCATATCACTGGCATTTTAAAATGAGAGAAGCTTAGTAGGACTGTTAAATAAACACACAGAGACCTTCGCCTCAAACCTATCGCCTCAAACCTATCACCTCAACCCCCCTCCCCCAACCCCTCGCTGGGTGGCGTGGCTGGTTCCGTCAGTCCTCCCTCCCTCCCCCCCCCCAGCCAGGCTTTTAGGCTTACAGTTTTTATTTTATATAATATCTCAGACTAAAGTTAAGAGATAACAATTTGCATTGCTGGAATCCTTGCAAGACAGCCAATAATTTGAATATAAACGTCATATATTTTGCTCACGAGATAAAAATTGTTGTACATTACTGTACAGTACTGTAGTACATTTATAATATAAATTTTTTTAACTGCATTTTTGGGTAGATTTACATAAATGTATTCATTTATTTTCATCCATCTACATGCACACACCATACAAAAAGAAACGTAAAAGAAATAAATGACCTTAGTGCAAAGCTGGAGTGCACATGTACTAATTTGATTATGGTACTAAAATTGTTATGTCTAGTGCAAATTATAGCATGTTTATATTCAAATTAACCAGTATCTTACAAGAATCCCAACAATGTTAATTATATGAACCCAGGTCATGTCACTGGCTTTTTATAAGAGAGAAGCTTAGTCACTTAAGAACTGATAAATATACAGGTACACGCGTTAGACCTGGGCCTGTGCCAACTGTCAAACGTACTACCTCCCCTCCCCCCAAGCTCCTTGCTCGCTCCCTCCATCCCTCCCTCTCCCCCAACTGCCTAGCGTTGCTGGAATCCTTGTAAAACAGTGAATAATTTTAATATAAACATCATGTATTTTGCACAAGAGATAAAAATTAATCACCTGTATCACATTACAGTAGTGATTTAAGAGTAAAAGTGTACATGTACGTATATAATATTCCACATACACGTAAGTATAAATACAAAATTTATGTGATGATCGGACAACGTCCATTTCGGTTAACGTTACGTTTCCAAGAACGTATCTAGGACGTTAACCGGCGCATGACTGTATTATTATTATTATTATTATTATTATTATAGTATCATTATTATTACTATAATTATCATTATTACAAATATTATTATTATTTCTTGTATTTGGGAGAAATGCTCTCTAGTAAATATAAAGCAAGGTGATAAGAGTTCATGCAACATTTCAGTCATAGCAAATATGAGAATCACCAATGCAGGAGACAATGGGTTAGTCCCTGTGGATTTCAAGAAAGGATCAGAAAAAAGATTCATTGTTACAGCTGTGTAAAGAGCTGTCTTGTAGATACAAGAGTGTGATACGTCCAAGACATGTAGAGATTAATATACCACACAATGTTCTACACATTAATGTTGAAATCTTCAAGATTATGATTAATGAAACAAGAGAATAAATCAGGCAACCTTCCTTTATATGCTGTGCATATATTAAAGTAATAAGAAGCAGCGAAAGAAGAAGATGGATAAACGAGACAATAAGTGTAGACACAACAACCTACCATCATCATATTAGGAATCACCACAAGAAAGCTACTCCAAGTTGGGCTTCACCCATGCAAAACTACTTTTACTTCTTCACCATCTTGATAACTTAACAATTTTTACAGTTTAAACAAAACATTGATGATAACACTCAATATATCAAAGCATATGCAGTATATATATATATTTTTTCATAATGTCACCCCCTGAGCTTCTGACCCAATCTCACTACTAACCTGCCCAGTTACTGCACGCCAACCTAGTGTCCACTTCTTGATCCACAATTTTGAGAGAGAGAGAGAGAGAGAGAGAGAGAGAGAGGAGAGAGAGAGAGAGAGAGAGAGAGAGAGAGAGAGAGAGAGAGAGAGAGAGAGAGAGAGAGAGAGAGAGAGAGAGAGAGAGAGAGAGAGAGAGAGAGAGAGAGAGAGAGGAGAGAGAGAGAGAGAAGGAAGAGAGAGAGAGAGAGAGAGAGAGAGAGAGAGAGAGAGAGAGAGAGAGAGAGAGAGAGAGAGAGAGAGAGAGAGAGAGAGAGAGAGAGAGAGAGAGAGAGAGAGAGAGAGAGAGAGAGAGAGAGAGAGAGAGAGAGAGAGAGAGAGAGAGAAAGAGGGGAGAGAGAGAGAGAGAGAGAGAGAGAGAGAGTGAGAGAGAGAGAGAGAGAGAGAGAGAGAGAGAGAGAGAGAGAGGAGAGATGAGAGGAGAGAGAGAGAGAGAGAGAGAGAGAGAGAGAGAGAGAGAGAGAGAGAGAGAGAGAGAGAGAGAGAGAGAGAGAGAGAGAGAGAGAGAGAGAGAGAGAGAGAGAGAGAGAGAGAGAGAGAGAGAGAGAGAGAGAGAGAGAGAGAGAGAGAGAGAGAGAGAGAGAGAGAGAGAGAGAGGGGGAGAGAGAGAAGTAGAGAGAGAGAGAGAGAGAGAGAGAGAGAGAGAGAGAGAGAGAGAGAGAGAGAGAGAGAGAGAGAGAGAGAGAGAGAGAGAGAGAGAGAGAGAGAGAGAGAGAGAGAGAGGAGAGAGAGAGAGAGAGAGAGAGAGAGAAGAGAGAGAGAGAGAAGAGAGAGATGAGGGAGGGAGAGAGAGAGAGAGAGAGAGAGAGAGAGAGAGAGAGAGAGAGAGAGAGAGAGAGAGAGAGAGAGAGAGAGAGAGAGAGGAGAGAGAGAGAGAAGAGAGAGGAGAGAGAGAGAGAGAGAGAGAGTGAGAGAGAGGAGAGAGAGAGAGAGAGAGAGAGAGAGAGAGAGGGGGAGAGAGAGAGAGAGAGAGAGAGAGAGAGAGAGAGAGAGAGAGAGAGAGAGAGAGAGAGAGAGAGAGAGAGAGAGAGAGAGAGAGAGAGAGAGAGAGAGAGAGAGAGAGAGAGAGAGAGAGAGAGAGAGAGAGAGAGAGAGAGAGAGAGAGAGAGAGAGAGAGAGAGAGAGAGAGAGAGAGAGAGAGAGAGAGAGAGAGAGAGAGAGAGAGAGAGAGAGAGAGAGAGAGAGAGAGAGAGAGAGAGAGAGAGAGAGAGAGAGAGAGAGAGAGAGAGAGAGAGAGAGAGAGAGAGAGAGAGAGAGAGAGAGAGAGAGAGAGAGAGAGAGAGAGAGAGAGAGAGAGAGAGAGAGAGAGATATTTTGTGTGTATGAAGATGCTTGAAATGTATCTTTGCACCTAAAGATCAGTGTCATGAAAATTCTAAACTCATGAATTGATCCTTAAAGATGCACACAAATTCAGATGGGGTCAAGAAGGAATACTTCTCCCCAACCCAAATAAATGTTTGATTGTGGTCCTCACCTCATCGTACACCTTAGACTCTGCATCAGGTATCATGTAGTCACCAAAGATGAGGTTGTTGAAGTGATGTGGACAGAGAACTTCCCCTTCAGGCACCAAATGGGCCAACACTGTGCTCAGCTGCATACGGAAAGTCCGCTGACTCACCTCCCGCACTATGTTGAAAAACTCACCTCTGAGGATATCACACAACTCTTAAAACACTGTATCCCATTATGAAGAAAAGATGATTAATGGCACCATGGAGAGCTGGGGAAGATGGTGTAAATAACAAAGAAAAATATTCATAGGGATGATTTTTTGTTTAAAGTGATGAGATATTAAGAAATACTCAAAAGTGTATCAGCGAAAATAGTTTTACATGTTTTGTAGACGTAAGTTACTTGTCGCGGATGCTCTCTTAACCCTCTCGAGGTCTTTCGACACAGATTGCATTGCTAAGCGCTTCTCTCTCATAAGAAGAAATGCTGGAACGATTTAATTTCCTCCCACTAGCTTTGTGGGCTGGTAGATGCATCTCTGAGGGTGCAATTTGGGGCTGAATAGCTGTTTACTAAAATGGAAAAACAGTTCCTGTTACCGATGCAACCTGCATCAAAAGACTGCGAGAGGGTGACAATGCAAACAGTGCTATTTGTGTCAAAAGACCGCGAGGAGTTGAGATTTCCGACCATTACCAGGAGTACCAGAGGGTTAAGGTGCCATCAAGCCTAACTCTCTTTTGTGTGGATCTCAAACCTCACCTTTCATGAAGTTCTAGTCTCATCATCATCATGGTTCCTCATTATCACTGTTAGAAAGTCCATCTTAGTCTTATATTTCATGGTTACAAAGCCTCACTTGTCAAAGAGTTCTAGTCTTACTTGTGAATGGGTCTTCGCTTTATGGTAATTTTAATGGAGAGCCTTACTTATCATAGAGATCAAATCTTAGTTGTAGATTCTCAGTTACATCATAGATATAACCTCAAATTTCAATGTTGTCTCACTTGTCATAAACACATTCTTAACTGTCTTGCAATTCTAGTATCATACTAAAGAACTTAAACCTCATTCTCACCTGTCAGTGTCATCACTAAGCCGGTCATGAAAGACACGGTAGACCTCATGAAGCCAGAGTCTAATCAATTTGTCAACGGAGCTGAGGGCAGCATTGGGCACCAGGAGGATGCCACTGATGACTCTAGAGAAGTCCCGAAGGTTGAACAGGTAGTGGCTCTTGGAGGGAGTTGGCAGGAAGGTGGAGGTGGCCCTTTTGTACACCTCACGGGTAGCTTCCACTACAGCCTGGCAGTGAGTGTAAGATTGAGAAAACAAATCAATGGATTGTATTCATATATTTACAATAAATAGGAAATATTTCCACGTTTAGGAAAGAGTACCGGTAATTCAAATTCTCAAAAGAAATTACTGTAGTATGAAAATAAATTTCATACAATGAAGTCAGGTCAATTTACTTATACGTACTAGTATACACCTTGGCTATGAGGGCTGTTATACAAAAGTATTATGCAGTACAGATATCCCTCACTATACGAACATTTGAGACATGAAAATTTGCATATAAGAATTTCCTAAATTGTCACCTTTTTTTTGGATAATGTAAATGTATTAATTGTAAATTGTAATTTTATATGTGATTGTTGTGACATGGAGCTATGCACCATACTTCGTAAAAGTCCGAGCCAAATAAATTTGTCTGTTTGCCTGTCTAGTGGTTTCCCTATCAGGCTGAGGTAGGAGTTATGGTTATTTCTTAGAAAACCCCCAGCTTTTTCAACTTGTAATTTTGGGTAGATATACATACTGTAACTCTCTTCATACGTATATTATTTATTAATTTATATGCAGAATGTTGCCCCCCCCTCCCCCCCCAAGAAAAAAAAATATCATAAGGTCAAAAACATAAAGGAAATAAGAATTTCTTCGTGCACTAGCAAGATTTAACTGGATGACCTGGAGGAGCTATGATTATTTTTCAACTCGTAATTTTGGGTAGATAAACTAAACTTTCTACACTTTCTTTTACTCAGTGACATGCAGACATAATCCTACATACATAATGTGCAAAGAAAGTAAAGGAAATAACTATCATAAGGTCAAAAACATAAACGGAATACACATTTCTTAGTGTGTGAGAGTGGGAAGGGAGCATTGCTAAGAGTCGGGAAGTCAGGAGGAGGAGCGTCCCCAGCTGGGCTGGGTTGCTATGGTGAGGCTTGAGGGCGGCAACGCATGACACAGCCAGTGTCTATGCAAATGGCAGCCGTGTTAAAACTTTGATTCATATTTTCATCCATATACTAGTATTTTGTAAATGTTTTTAATATGTTAGGTAGTAAATGATAGTAGTTGTGTAATTTATTATTAGTTGGGTAGGTTTTCTCTCATTTTGGAACAGATTTAATTTTTTTTAATTGATATTAGGGTTTTCTTGTCATTGAAAAGCTGAACCCTATTTTTCCCATACAGTATGTTCTTTTATTCTCAGTACAAAAATTCAATTAACGATTGATTTTTCAGGGATGTAACCCATTTGTAGAGCGAGGGATATCTGTACAGGAGTGTGTAAGGTAAACAAATGGATGAGCAGATGGTTATACACGGCACTGTCCTGCTACTAACCCTATTGAGGTGTTGGATTGTTGTATCCTCCTGGGTTGTAAAGTGCCAGGTCATAATCGACCCAAAAATCTTATCCAGAGTCGAGTCATCAAAAGCATCGATACATATGATGTTGAGGTGGCGTGTAAACCGTCCGCAGATGGTATTGCGGCCAGCACTGGGGGGGGCCATTGCTCCCAGGAACAGCTGCCATCAAATGTGTTCAACAATCAAATTAAATTGTTAAGGGAATAAGATTTACTATTAACGTATCCATGGGACACAGCACAGCAGGGTAATTAAGAGATTAATGACCATTATATTTTACAATCTCAACTGACTTATTCATTAGCAGTACATAAGTTAATGGATGTTCTGATAATGACAGTCTACATACTCGCTTGTTTTATGTGTGTGATTAAAACTTTATAAAAGTATATTACAGTATAACAAATTACTGTATATGTATGGTGCAGGAGTCACTGAACATTTATATCTATATAACAAAGAATAATAAAAGTTCTACAACACGTTGAGTAAAGTTTCAAACTCTGCTCTCTTGTCAAGGAAACTAATGCCAAATTTAATGTTTCAACTGCCTAGTCATTCATGCTATAGGCTGCTCTAGTACTGGGGGTGTCCTACTGGAGTCTTGGAAATATACTTTAATCTGATATCATTGACTTACAAATGCCCGCTGATACAAATGTGGTTAAACTTGAAATTTACAGTATTTTATTTACTTGAGGACTTATTTTTTACTTACATTTACTGTATTTTGTCAATCTATTTCTTCTTTTGTCTCAACTTAAGTGATTTTAGATGTATATTAGGACTTTGGCTATGATATAGTAGGATTTTAAACATTGTTTTGTAAGTACTGTATGCATATAGCATTTGCTCTGACTTACGTACAAATACGAGTTACTAACGTTCTCAGGAATGGAACCCGCTTGTAACCCGGGGAACCGCTGTAATGTTAGTACAGTACTGCACTTCAACAACTAAGGCCTTTCAGTATGAAACTAGGTTATTAATTACAGTATACTAATTCATGAACAATAAAAATTTATGAGACAGAAATTACTGTCTTGAATCAAATGAAAATATATATCATTAACATTATGTGAACATTCCATATTTACAGAGTTACAACAACACACCAAACTTACTGAATCAACAAGTTCAATCTTGGATGTGTCCTTCTTGTCATAGAAGTGTTTATGGTCAAGCCACTGCCTGAGGAACTCAATAGGTGGCTGAGCGCCATACGTCTCCTTTTGTGGCATGTTGACATCATCAATAAATACCACATACTTCCTCCCCATTGCTGGCCCGAATACTCCCTTCCGCCGCCTGAAACAAATATATAAATGTAAGATTCCTACCAGTAAAATGTTTCTCTTTTCATAGTACACGGTACAAGTTGCAACATATTTGTTAGTCATTATACCTTGGGACATCAAGGTTTCAGAAATAAAAACATAGTATTCAAATAAAGGGTACCGTTTATTTAATTTTTTATTCCGTAAATCGTTCATCAATGTCGGTAAAGTACATGAAATTAACCTTTTAATTTTTGGAAACTTCTGAAAGCCCATAGATGACCACAAAGATAATCATACTACATATAACTTGATAGCTTCATATGTAACCTAACCTAACCCTCTAGGTTATGATGGTAAAACAAATCTTTAATACAACAAAAAATTTTACTTTAATAAATGAATTTTCATCAAGTTATGGCAATTAAAGAAATTAATTCCTATTTGGCAACTTCAGTTACTTATCAAAGCTTAATCAGTGATTATTCCTGTTTAAAGTGACATATACCGGGTATATACACAGTAGTACAGTACTGAATTAATGAACCAGCAGATGATCTTTGTTCATTACTCCATTTAAATGTTTGTGATCATTCTTACAAATACATAACGTGATGGATAGTCATAGCTATTTTCATGAAAAAAAAAAAAACAGATACATAAACTCAGAATTCCTAATGATAAGTTTCTTCCTCCATGTGCTTCAAATTACTGAATACAGTATGTACAATTTAGGATCCTTTGTACATCAATCCTTGAAGCAGACTGTACAATTTGTTCTTTACCTCTTACCAGCACTTCAGTGAGATCTTCCGTGCCTTGTTACTTCACACAACAGTAAGCCTTTGCCATTCGCTATGGATAGGTTCCAAGAAATGGCGCAAATAGGTAAAACCGCTAATAGCCATTTCTGTAATACCTTAGTGCACTAATATACAGGTATACCTATACTGTGTATGAGAAACTTAAGTCACAATAATGTACTTACATTTGTATGTGGAAGTCTGGAGCTTGATGAAGTGGTGTACTGTATATAGGGAGACATCTGGTTAATGAAGCATAGGTGGATCATCAAGATCACTGGTGGAAGAGGGTGAATCAGTGGTGGTTGGTGGAGTGGTGTGCGACCGGGAGGTGGTGCGTGGCTGGGAGGAGGGTGGTGAGGTGGCGGGTGGCTGGGGGTAAGAGGAGGGTGGAGCGGCAGCTGTAGCACTAGCTGGTTCTTTCTTAAAGAACATGGTGATTGGTAGGTGATTCCTCTTGGCTTTGAGTTCTTGAAACATTTCCAGATAGGAAAACAATACTTGGTTGATTCCTCGGACCATCTGAAGGCTGCGTTTTTACCAACTCTTTCAAATCCTCTTCTTAAGTTCCTCTCCATGCCCATCAATCAGCTCTTCCACATCTTCAGCAGCCATGTCCACACACCCCTCACCACCCAACTGACGTGCAACATTCACAATGTCATTCATATCCTTCACCATGGACGGAAATCCCTGAAAGTTATTCACACACTCAGACCATAAGGTGCACCAACAAGCATTCACTGTCTCTGGTTTAAGCTCACTGAATGATTCACTGAAGTTGGTAATGCAGTCTGCAATGTTGTACTCCTTCCAACACTTGCTAACATCAAGGTCAGGGTCTTCATCCATGGCACTACAGATACGACCAAAAGAGCAGTATGTATAATATGCCTTGAAGGTGTGTATTACACCCTGATCGAGAGGTTGGATAAGAGCAATGATGTTAGGGGGTAGGAACACCACCTCTACACCTGGATGGCTAAACTGCAAACTTTCTGGGTGGCCTGGCGCATTTTCTATCTTCTTGGAAGCAAGGTATTTTTCCACTTCAGGGATGAAACATTTATGGAACCAGTCCAGGAAAGCTTGCACAGTTACTCATGCCTTTTAGTTGGACTGCCAAAAACTAGCAAAAGCTTCTTGTCTTTTCCCTTTAAAGCCTTAGGGTTTGCGGAGCGGTAAAGCAAGCCAGGCTTGATAATGCAGCCAGCCGCATTGCCACAGAAGATGAGCATCACTCTGTCCTTGGCTTCCTTGAACCCAGACGCACACAATTCCTGCTTGTTTATATATGTTCTACAGTCCCAGGTAGTTATCTTCTAATATAAACCAGATTCATCAGCATTTAACACTTGCTCTGGTCTATAGACTTTCTCTTCTATTATTTTCTTCAGCTTGGTGGGAAATGCACCTACGACTGCGTGGTCACGGGTACTGGTGTAACGACCATGGTCATACACGTCAGCGCCAACATCAAATGATTCATATTACGCTCAATAGCCCACAAAACATGTAACTCTGCTTTTATTTTGAGTCCTCCATCTGAGGAGTTCGTTTTCTCATCACTTCAAGACACCTCAGTCCTCCGTTATCCCATTTTCTCTGACTTACTGAAACCAACCTCTCTATAAAATGAATTTGAATGTGAGAGTAAACACCCTTGTTTTGAGTCAACTTCGATATGTCTGTTTACAGGTGGAACATTCAAGATCCATTGTGAGTGGTGTTGAACGCTTCAACTGTCCTTATTGTTAATAAGACGTGTCAAGTAAGCGAGTGTTGAGTTTGCCAGCTAGAGTGGCGTATTTTATGTCGTCCGTGGGGATACCCATGAGTTTCTGATCGCTACTGAAGTTATGTTATTTTGTCGCTCCGACATCAGAGAATCTGATGTTTATAGTTTAGTTAGTGTCAGTTGTTTATTTAAGAAAGTCATTAATCTCCTGAACAGTTCCTGTCAAACTCAAAATTCTCCAAGACTTAACGGCCGTTTGACCTGGGATGTGGTTTGCGGTCAGGCCATAGAGTTGCGAACGCATATATAACTCCATTTTACCTCTTTACTGGCAAACTCAATCTCTGATTAGATCATAAATATAGATGTAGATAATTAGCGTGATCTGTGACACTGACGGTCACAGCTAGGTGTCCAACGACTACTTTGAATGGAGGGCCTATTGTTAGTAAAATTAGTCTTTCTAGTAGGAATATGCCCTCAGGCCCGTATATATGCCGGCGAGCGAGGAAAAATCACTCCCTCTGTGATTTCTCCTCCACGTCTCCAGGTATGTTCACGTGTGTTCCACGTGGCCATATTAACTCAGTTAACTTAGTCATTTTTGTGAATATCAGTGTTCATGTTTTAACATAGTACCTTCCGTGCCAATTGAGTAGAGTAAAGTAGAGATCTAGCTATCGTCTGAACTGGTGCCAGACGTATGTTTTGTATAGTGAAGTTAAATATTCATTCCCTCTGTGATTTCTCCTCCACGTCTCCAGACGCGGGTGTGTTAGCAACTCTCCTGAGGTTCGGTAGCTACCTAATGGGCAAGATGGTTCTTGAAGGATGTCTCTAAGGGGGCGCGATTAGAATCCCAGGACACAATTCCCCCGGGAAGCGCCCTCAACACTCTGCCAGTTTGTCACGAGTCAACCTCCCTGGGTGCACCTAGCGAGCGAGCCTTCAGCTTGGCGGTCGCTGTAAACAAATGTGCTCGCTGACTCCACCTGGTGATTGTACCTCATCTATTTGCATGGAGCGGTATTGGCCCATGTTTGGAGGGATAACTAGCAGAAATATAGTATCCCGGGTTAAGTATTGAACCACTGCATGAAAGTTCACGGTACCAGGTTGTTCCTTGTGAACTAACAAGAGGTATTGTATGTTACTAAAATTGTGGAGTTGTCCAGTGTGTTATGTATTCGTCGGTAGTGACCATGAAAGAATAACCTGAGAGTATAATGTTCTAACCAAGAATTGAAGAGGTAATTTGTTACTTGTTAAAGTAAGACCTGAGGGTCCAGTGATATCTTGTGAATAATAATTACGGAATCTCATTTGTCAAGGTAATAATACCACAATTGTCTAATGAAGTAATAAGTATTTGGAGGTGTTTAATGAGGTAATAAGTTCTTGAAGTGTTTGATGACTTAATAACGTTAATTGCGGTTCTGTTCTGTCTGAGTGAATCGAAGATGCATCTTATCCACTCACTGTGTTAATAAATATTGAATTAGTAATCTACTAGTATCACCACTCTACTCCTTCTAAACATTGGTTCCCAGAAAATAATACTTACTCACGTGCCTATACATCTACCACACTACCCAAAAGCTTTCCATGAGTTATGTTATCTTCTAATTCAAAAGTCTGGTGGTGGCAGCCTACTTGTAAGTATAATAAGTGCCCTGAGAATAACATGGTTCCCAGACTAACCCATGTACTGTATAAGAATAGACGTAAAACAGAGTATACTTCAGAAAGATAAGAACATTGAAACCGAGTAAATATAATATACATGGAAGAAATGAAAGACTTGGAAAGTACAAGAAAAGAAAGATAACACATGTATGTACATTGTGGAACTAACGACACAGCATAGAAATTATTAAATATATACATCATGAAAGTTTAATATAAAGAACATAGATAACTGGGAAGAGAATTACTTGTATAAGAATGTAAAGTGTATTGATAAATAAAGAATGGAAAAATAATAACAGAAAATAATATCTGGAAGGTAAATTATAAAATGAAAAAACTCGGCCCGTCACACTGGATTAGGGCGAACAGAGCAGGATGAGATGCCGCGGGCGCGTGGGGTGACTCGTTGTGCTGAGGGAGAAGGCTCGCAAGCTAGCCACCCGAGCCACCAGCTGCTTACCGCGAATCGTCGAAATTGTGAATGGGAAGGGTTTACTGTACACTATACAAATTGTCAAAATAAAACATTAAAACAGGATAAAAAATAAGAAAATACTTTTTCAGTATAATATCTGGAAAGAAAAATATGAGAGAAGTTAATTTAAAGATAGTGAGATACATGAAGGTACAGGAACAATAAATTTCCTCCATTTTCATCCTGCCACTAAAGCTCACCTGTCTACCTTGGACATAATAATGTCCTGGGCCTGGCCAGCAGATGTCCTGGCTGAGAAGTTGATGGTGTTGATGATAAATTTGTCCTTGGGCAGGTTGATGAGCGAAGCGTTAGTGAGGGCACTTTTCCCAGTGCCTGTGGGCCCCAGCAGCAGCAAGGGAACATCGTGGTCCAGACAAGTCCTCAAGAAGAACTCTTGGCGAGCTGTCTCCGCTGTCGGAATCAACAACTTGGACATCTGTCAGAGTAATTATCACTTCTGTGGCATCACTACTCAACATCATCATATTGGAAATCCTTTTTTTTACTTTAATTGTATTTCAAATAAAAATATTTATTATTTAATGTTGCAATCTGAATGGCTGCAATGTTAGTGACAAAGGATGACCCTATATTAGTACTGTAATGAGTAGACATTTATAGTGTACTTCTGATTTAAGATTCAATACCCTTCCAACTTTGAACCTCTGAACTGATCTTCAGTCATGTACAGAAATTTAAACGTGATACAGAAGCATATTTCTTCCCAACAAAAAAGAATTTTAATACAGTATAGTCTGGGTTTACGCGTCTAATTAAACCCATGGAGGTCCGCGTATAAAGCGAAACGCGTTAGTAAAATAACAGAACATATGGGATTAATTGAAATAGAGACTGGGCCGACCCCCAAACTACACTTTTTCCGACACAATACATACGTTGTAGTAAAAATAACATCTATATTTTATGATGGTATGCACACACAATTAATAATTAAGAGAAATATCAATAATATTAGGTTTTTTAACACTTACGTTAGTAGAAGAGATGGCTGGGCACACGGGGATGGGGGGTTGGTTCCGAGGCAGAGGGTAGATTATTATTGGCCCTCACCTGTATCACCTGTATCTCTATCCACCACAGAGGCTAGCAGGGCCTCCTTGTCAAACCTCTCAAAGTCCATATCCTCACTATCAATGACTTGGGCCAGCTGTGGTGAGTGGCGGGTGAAGAACTCGGTAATGTTTTGTTGATGGCTAGCATTGATGTGGTCGTGATACAGCTTAACACAGGGCTCCAGGGATTGCAACTGATGGTTATTAGACACTCCCTAGTGATGCTTGACTGGGTCTTTGGCAAGGAGAAGCTTCAATCTCTCCGCTGCCTCGATGATTTCCTACACATCAGCATGTGTTAGTTTCTGCTCTGGTTCTTCCGTAGCACCTCGCTGCTCACCGACGTCATCATTTTGCGACATCTCGTTGGCAGTCACCTCAGGTTGCCTGATTACCTCCAGTATGTCCTCGTTGGTGGTCTCGGAGAAGCCTGCAGCTCTAACACTTTGTGCAGCCTCTCTTGCATTCTCCAATGCCACAGCAACAGACAGCCTCTCCAGCCACCGCTTGCCTCTGCCTCCCACCTGGGATACCCTCCAACACATTGGTGATCTTGTTGCGTTGTTTAAAACCTTGCAGCCACCCAGTGGAAGCTTATACTACAGACGGGCAAGGGGGGACCTAGTTGAGGTTTATAAGCATCTCAGGGGGCACTACTCAGTTGAGTGTCCTTACTTGGAGCTGGCGGACGCTCGCCCCACAAGGGGTCACAGCTCAAGATTGAAGAAGCCGCAAGTCCAGAAAACCGTGAGGGCAAACTTTTTCAGAGTGAGGGTTGTAAACTCTTGGAACAATCTACCAGAGAGTGTTGTGACGGCACCAAGTGTGAGCTCTTTCAAGACCAGACTTGACCAACACTGGAGCGGGTTCAGGTTCATTCAGGAGCCGGTGCATGCCCAGTATTTGCCAACAGTGCGTGACAGAGACGTGACCGATCGCCCGGGCGGCTAGCGAGCCGACCTTTTGGTGAAGAATATAAGGAAAAGAAGACGTGATCACGTAACAAGCCATCAGTGGCGAAGAGGATAAAAAAAAAAAAAAGTGAAGAGCTTGGGCTCTGCAACTCCCATTTTTATTGCCAATGATTTGTATTGTTCTCGGGCATAGTCCTGCATTGCCCGAGTGTCGACCGCCATGTTCCTTCTTGACTGACGAATAATGTAGCTTACCAAGAAACCCTCTGTCTTCAGCAGCACCTTATTGTGGCAATATTTCACCAGCGAGGCACCTACAGACTTAGTAATGTTCATGTGTTCATTGATTTTGCCGGCATCCTTCTTGATCGTGCGAATCGTCGATTCATTCACTCCATATTGTCTGGCTAGATCCACCTGCCTCGTGCCTTTTTCTAACTCCTGAAGGATCTTGTACTTAGCCTCATAGCTTAAGGCACATCGCACCTTCTTGGGCTAGGGCGGCTTGGTCCAGGTAGTTCAAGGTTTCTCAGGGGTGGTGGGGGTCTAGCAGTAGCCATTGTGTAGAAAAAGCAAAACAAAACAGGTTCCTGGGCACGAGTGAGTATACGCGGGGACAATGAGACTGGTGCGGCCAAGGTCATTGCCCCTGGTGGCAGGGGCAAGCAAGGTTAAATAGACCAATCACAGCGCGCGGCGGAGGGGGTGAATGGGTGGTAAGGATACGTGGCCCAATCACAGTCCGCGACATCATCGGCACGAGTCTGATGTCAGCGGTGACGTCAGCGCCCAGCACCTTGCCCGCCGCTCGCCGCGTAAATTAAGGAATGTACCGCGCAACTAATAATTATCGCATCTGGTCAGGTGGTGCGTATATGGCCAATCGCTTATAAAATATCCGCGTAAAATCAGACTATACTGTTCACAAATATGTACACAGGCTCAAACAGGAGATATAATAAACCCACTATGAATGTCTTTACACACACACAGGCTCCAAAAAACACTTTTATGATATCTTTCATTCCTTGAAATGGCTCCTTAATTGTGTCTGGTACCTTGGCATCAGGAGGTATAATGAGTCTTTCCCTGTCGATGGTGTCGTCCCACAGAACCCACCGCTGAGTCTCCCGCTCATACAGGTAGTCGTAGACCAAGCCACTCTCCGGAGGCATCATCCTACAACATTTACAGCACTAGATATATTGCAGCTTTCAAACATACCTGAGAGCGAGATCTTGCTGGATATCAGAGCTTTGTTCTTATACTAATCAAATCTCCTTTTCAGTTGTTTAGGATGGGTTAAAAAGACATGAGTGTACCTGTCAATAAATTATTGATGTGGTAAAATACAAAAAGACATCATGGGAGAGTTCACTGGTGGGCAAGACTTACCCTTTAGTTAGCCTGAAGCACTCTGGCTTGGGTGCTGCCTCCACTTTCCCCAGCAGAAGCTTACGAAAGAACTGGTCAAACAAATGACGACTTGTACCTGTTCCCAATGAGGTGACAAGAAATACTCAATGAGGTGGTAAAGTTATAGTGTACTGATATAAATCTGTAACTGAGATATATATATATATATATATATATATATATATATATATATATATATATATAGATATATATATATATATATATATATATATATATATATATATATATATATATATATATATATATATATATATATATATATATATATATATATATATATATATATATACACACACACACACACACAGTCTGCGCGGAATGTGAGATCGTGTGCTGAAAAAATATTGATATTTACGATTATGTTATATAAATAAAGTCAAGTAACACTTACCACTTCAATTAATACTTTGTAGTGTTTCCTCTGCGCTTCAGACAGTCTTTTAGCCTTCGAGGAACACTGTCAGCAAGGTTTTGCAAGAGGTCAGGTGGCAAGTTAGCCCAGGTATCCTTGATGGCTGCCTCTAGCTTCGGGATTGATGATGTGTCAGCGTCGCGCAGACGACGCTTAACAATGGACCACAAATTTTCTATTGGGTTAAGATCTGGGCTACTGCCAGGCCAGTCATTAAGGAAAGGTACCTCACAGTCTTTGAGCCACTGTATGACACTTTTAGCAGTGTGGCATGGGGCACCGTCCTGCATGAAAAGGCTTGCCTTAGCTTTATCAAATGATTCAGGTAAGAAATCACTGAGCAGTTCAAGATAGTTGTACTGATTCATCATCTGGTTCTTAGGGAGGATTACTAGTTCACCAACACCATAATACGTAAAGGAAGCCCAAACCATAAGCGAGGCAGGGTGCTTAACAGTCTTCACTGTGTACTGTGGGAGGTGCGCGTCTGAGTGGGGGGGGGCGGTACACCCTCCCTCCATTACTCCCAGTCACAGAAAACGTAGCCTCATCCGACCATAATACACTCCTCCATGTCTCTAAATCCCACACTTCATATTTCTTGCAAAATTTCACTCTATTTTCCTTCTGTCTCTTTGTCAACAGAGGTTTACGGCGGGCACGAAAGCTCTTAAATCCCAGGTCATCGTGCAGGGCTTGTTGAACACAACGTAACGAGACGTGACTCAAAAGACGGGGGTTTCTCTCTTTCACTTCACGTGCTGTGAGTGAGGGATTGGACCGAACTTGTCGAGAAATAACCTTAAGTGTCCGTGGAGACAATAATTTAGGCCTACCAGACTTAGGTAATGGAGCTGGTAACTCGTCCTCTCCAAGGTCACGGAAACGTTTGACAAGATTTTGAACAACTCGTAATGCCACACCAGTCTGAGCTGATATTTCTCTCAGTACATGGTTCGCTTTGTACAATGCAATCACTGCTGCAATATCGTCTCTTGTAGTAACCCTCCTGGACATCTCTGATGGCCACTATGTCGGGTTAATGCACCTTAAACTAGACAAAACATGGCCACATGGCACGGGAACCCGCACAATAAATCTTCCCCTCACAGCTGCCAGAGGCGCACTGACTACAAGCCGTGACGTGTTCTCAGTTGCCAAATGTCAGCACTTGCCAACAAACCAAGCGTTTTGACATCTCGCATCCCAGGACAGGCTTCACAACATATGATCTTATTTTTGCGAGAACTTAGTTCGTCGGCCCTATCGCGACTTAACATTCCGCGCAGACTCTATATATATATATATATATATATATATATATATATATATATATATATATATATATATATATATATATATATATATATATATATATATATATATATATATATATATACAGTCAACCCTCACTTTACGCGGTCCCACATTCCACGTTACGCGGTGCCCTGCCAGAACCCAGGATGCTCACATTCCGCGGTGGGTGTACCCCTTTACACGGTTAAGTATAATTTTTTTTAATTTAGCTCATAAAATTCATACAAATTATCCGGCCAGAATATAATTTACATTGCTGGAATTCTTACAATTTGATGATCATTTTGAATATAAACATCATAGATTTTGCATTAGACATACAAATTTTAGATATAATGTTTACTCTGAGTAAATATATTATCTTTTGTGCAAAATATATGACATTTATATTCAAAATATTCCTGGTCTTACAAGGAATCCAGCAATGTCAATTATATTATCCTAACTTTAGTCTGATTTATTATTTATTACTAAAAAGGTAAACAGTCTGGTATTCCAACACATTTATCTAGTAGGGACGTTGGTGGGGGGTGGGGGGGAGGGAGGGAGGGAGGGACCGGCGACCGACCATCTGTTACCGTGAAGAATATTTTTTTTTTATTAACTGAAGATTTTTATTTTAGCTCATAAAATTCATACAAATTACCCGGCCAGAATATAATTTACATTGCTGGAATTCTTACAATTTGATGATTGGCTTTTAATGAGTACCATCATATATTTTGCATTAGACACAAATTTTTAGATATAATGTTTACTCTGAGTAAATATGTTATCTTTTGTGCAAAATATATGACATTTATATTCAAAATATTCCTGGTCTTACAAGGAATCCAGCAATGTCAATTAAATTATCCTAACTTTAATCTGAGGTATTATTTAATACTAAATGTTAAAATCTAGTTTTTTCACCCACCCTTTCTCTTGAAGGGAGGCTTGGTGGGGGGTGGGGGGGAGGGTTGGGACGGACTGACCATCTGGCTGGTTGGAAGAAGGGAGAGGCAAGGTGGGGTACTTTGATTGACAGATAGTGTCGTGAAGAATATTTTTTTTTTTTATTAACTGAAGATATTTGCTTTAGCTCATAAAATTCATACAAATTACCCGGCCAGAATATAATTTACATTGCTGGAATTCTTACAATTTGATGATCATTTTAAATATAAACATCATAGATTTTGCATTAGACATACAAATTTTAGATGTAATGTTTACTCTGAGTAAATATGTTATCTTTTGTGAAAAATATACAGGTAGTTCTGCTATAACGCGATAGTAGTGTTCTTGTAAAACATCGTGTTATAGAAATTCGTGTAATAGAAATAACAGGGCTTATGGAGAAAATAGGGTTAGGTGCAGATTACTCCAAATCGAAAAAAAATTTCGTAGTTAGCCTAACACAAAGGATAGCACAGTCTAAATAAATGTTACATTCATATCTAATAATGAAATCATACAGTAAATGTTACACTTTACCTTGAAAAAATATGAATATAACTTGATGGGGGAGAAGGGTGATGTTGAGGCTGAGGAGTCATGAAACATCAAGCTTTTCTTCAAGTGTTATAGCCTTTCTTTTACGATCACCACCGGAAATGCGATCACCAGAGTGCTTCCCAGAGATATTCTTCTTTTCCATAGTCACAAAATTGGAGAAACAGTAATCAGAATTCACTGAGGACACTTAAAAACTTCACGTGTTTCAAACAAAGTGTGGAGTAAACAGAGCGCGCGGGTCTAAAACGCTATGTATTTTGTTTTTCTCTTATTTAAAACTTTACATTTTACATATACTGTACAGGTATACTGTATACATAAATATTACATAAATTATTTCTGCAATTCTTCACAAACAAAACACATAAATCAATTGAACATGTGATGTCGAACGTGACCTGTAAACACTGCATAACCCCGCACCAAGCCACAATGTACAGTACACTTTAAACGCTACTTATTTTGTTTTTCTCTCTTATTTAAAATTTTACAATTTACATATACTGTACAGGTATTTCTTCACAAACAAAACACATAAATCAATTGAACAAGTGATGTCGAACGTGAACTGTAAACATTGAGCCAAGCCACAACACTGTACAGTACACTTTAACCGCTACGTATTTAGTTTTTCTCTTTTATTTAAATTTTTACAATTTACATATATATATATATATATATATCTTGATAAAATCACACGGGAAGATGGAAACAACGGAGTACCTTAGCTTTCGTCTTTATTCAAGCTTTTCCACGTTATATTGTGGATTTACATGAAATATATATATATATATATATATATATATATATATATATATATATATATATATATATATATATATATATATATATATATATATATATATATATATATAACATATTATCAGTTTTGAACTGACCATCATAAATTTATTTGTCAGTGGCCCAAGGTTAAAAATGCTTTGAAAACCTTTGATCTTGATGTATGATAGTTATTTTGTGGGTCCCTTTTTTCTGACCTGACCTGTCTAGTCACGTCACCACCCTTCTCTTAAGCTCCTCTACGTGTGTGTTGGTGTGCGGATTAGTGGATGTCATCATTATGACCTGACCTTATATTTTTAGGTCACCCTGTATATTTAAGCCTCTCTCTGTCCATGTAACCCAGTTGCCTCTGAAGATGTCTTGAATAAAGAGGAAAGCTAAGGTACTCCGTTGTTTCCATTTTCCCGTGTGATTTTATCGATATATATATATATATATATATATATATATATATATATATATATATATATATATATATATATATATATATATATATATATAAATTGTAATTTACATATTATTCATATTATGCTAGAGCGCCCACAAAACATGAGAAACGTTTGAGTCCCCCAGTAGAGATGTCCGTTCTCTATCCACTCCAGGATGTCCGTTTTCTTTTTGTGTACTCGCTCAGGGACTCAAGTATTTCTGTATATGACACAGGATGATAAGGAATTTGAATTTATTTGTTTATTTATTTATATATAATATACTGTAATATATTAAATATACTGCAAGTATTTTCTTTAATTTATATACGTGTTTCGCGAAAAAGGGAGGCTACATTTATGGTGATCGTTAAGGACCAAACTCCGAATCCATGACGTGACTTCTGTTCATTATTTATATCCTAAATTTACCACTGTAGGTAGTTTCAAGAATTAATGCAGTCATTTACTGAATATTCTTTGCAAAAAAATAAATTTTAAATGAATTATTTATAAGAGATAAGTATTATGATCAGTAAATATACAGATATGCATTACTGACCACCTCCGAACACAAGGATGGCTAAAAATAGCCAC